TGAGTGTGTGGCTTACAAGTGATCCCCAGACTGCCTTTCCTGGTGGCCCAGGTAGCCCTGGACTAGGACAAGCCCCAGGCACCCCCCCGCCCCCCGCCCCCCGCCCCCGGGCTCTGTAGGAGCAGAGCAGGATGAGGGGCAGCTTGCTCCCAAGAGGAGAGGAGGGGAAGGGCCTGGACCATCCACTCCAGCTCCTCGTTCTCCACTTACTGCCGACATACACGCCTCACGGGGGGGCGGGGGGGGGGGCAAGCCTAGCGCTGTTCCGCTAGTGAGTGTCCAGGAAGCATTTCTCAGACTGGTGAAGAAATGTTGCCCCCACAACAAGCAAGTGTGGTTCAGTGAACACGTGAGCGGGCCCCTCCACTCTTTTGGGGCCTGTAGTGACAGAGCCTGGAGCCCTCTGCCTGCTTTCTCTTGGAGAGAATGGTCCAACTAGGAGTGAGGAGCTAATCCTACCTGGGATGGACAGAATCCAAAAATCCCCCCCCCCCGGTCCCGCCTACCTCTGTTCTTTATTTCAGCTCCTGTCTGTGCAAAGCTTCCATTCCAAAGCAGCCTCTTGCCAGACTGCTGAAGAATTCAGTTTGCTAGTCCATCCAACAACAGTTTTGAGAGAGACCTTTGTTGTACTCCGAATTTCCTGTTTCAGGTCGTGAACCTGTGTTCTCGGAGAGGGGCCCATGTCAGGGCCATATGAAGATCTTTTGTTCTAGAAAGAAAGGGTTAGTACTCATTTAACAGCTCCATTTTTACAAGTGCCTCCCATGCGCCAGGCACTGTGCTGGGATGAGTCAACCCTAGACCTTGGCCTTCTCATAGTTTGGGGAGAACCTGGGGTCACTGTTCTAACAGGGAAGCCCTCGGGGCATGTAGGAGGGTAGTTTGGGGAGGTTAGGCCAGAAGGGCTTTGTTAAACACGGAAGCCATGGTCTCAGAAATCTTTGTAATGTGTTTCTGGTTACACTTTAAAAGGAGGAATGAGACATAATAACCGAGTTAGACCAAGAAATACCCCCCATCAGCCGTGTCTGGAAAAGGAGTTAAGCTTAGGCAGGGTTGGGGGGACCAGAAGCCCGACTATAGATGCTTTGGGGGCTACTGTTGTAGGGAGCTCTCCAGGGAGCTGCAAGTTCCTGTTTAGAAGTGTTTAGAGCAGCCTTTCCTTGTATGTCCCCTGAAAAAATGAGACTTTGGGTACCCCCCCCCTATGCGAAGGGTCCCAGGTTTGGTCTGCATAAGGAATGTCTCCTCTTCTTTCTTTGAAGATCGACAGGGACCTCAGAGCACCAGAGGCAGTGAGGAGATGTACAGAAATTTATCCCTACATTTTCCTAAAAATGTGTCCATGGAATCCTTTTTTCTCTATAGTAGCTTGGTACAGAGAACCGTGCATTCTCCTTCTTTAGATCTTGTCTTGAAATTTCTGTGGGCAAGGGGTGGTCATTTACCATGAAAACCATCTTCACTGCCCTTTTGCTGCCTCTGTGTCTGGGGGTGGTTTAGGTTTAGGTTTTGGACTCACTTCTTTGTGTTGGTTGAGCACCACCTGTTGACTGTAGAGATATTACAGAAATCTGGGATGCCGTGATACCAGTTGTATATTCTGACATCCTATATATTTGTGCCAAAGAAGTTTGGCCAAATTTGACATAAACGTCAAGGAAAAGTGAACATTTCAGCAAGCGAGGAGGAAGAAGATGAGACCCCAGACTGCCCCCGTCCGATTTGGTTTCTAGCCTGTAGCACTTGAGCTCTCTTTGCATCATCACACCTCTTCATTGTAAGTAATTGAAGTTGCCAGCATGATCTGGCCTCTTTGAGAAGATGGTCTTATGCATCAGTCGTGTTCTCTTTTCTTCTTTTAGATGTTTATTTATTTTTGAGAGAGAGGGACAGAGCGTGAGTGGGAGGGGCAGAGAGAGAGGGAAACACAGAATTCGAAGCAGGCTCCAGGCTCTGAACTGTCAGCACAGAGCCCTGTGTGGGGATGGATGGAACCCTTGAGAGGTGAGATCATGACCTGAGCTGAGGTCGGACGCTCAACCTACTGAGCCGCCCAGGCGCCCCTCAGTTTTTCTTAACAAAACAGGGGTAAGTTTTGGTTTGTATTTAAGCCCAATTGTTCTTTTCTTTCTTTCTTTTTTTAAGTTTATTTACTTATTTTTGAGAGAGAGAGAGAGAGAGAGAGCAGGGGAGGGGCAGAAAGAGGGAGAGAGAGAATCCCAAGCAGGCTTAGCTCTATCAGCACAGAGCCTGTCTCGGGGCTGGAACTCACTAACCATGAGATCAGGACCTGAAGTGAAATCAAACTTCAGAGTTGGATCCTTAACCACTTAACAGATGGAGCCACCCAGGGGCCCCACCCAGCGGTCAGATCTTAACAGGCCCTGCAGGACACCGACTGTGTTCTCTTCCCCGGGCCCTCACTTTGCACTGGAACCCTCTGGGCTTTCTGTCCTCAGCAGCCATCTCTGTGGGCACCAAACACTGCTGCGGGGTTCTGCAGAGTGGCCTTTGAATCCTGGGCATCCGTAAGAGGAAGCTGTCCATTATAGAAAAAGTGGTTTTTTTCCCCTTAAGGAGATAAAAAAAAAAAAAATAGGGAGTTTTCTGTTTTGTTTTTCCCTCTGGAACCACCTGCCTGGCTAGATACTAAGTTACCCTAAGATCTTGCAGAGGAGGGAGAGAGGGTTGGTTTGCCAAGTTGTGGGACCGAATCTATTCTGCTGTGTACTCTGCTCCCCAGCCTGGTCTAGAGCACTCCGCACCCCTTCCTTCCCCCACTTCACCCCTTCCTTCCCGCCTCATCCTGGAGCTCCTGACCAGGCGTATTTCTGCTCATGTCAGGGCTGTCACAGGCAGGGGCCCTTCTCGCCTCCCGGTTTAGCCCAAGTTTCCTGTTCCTCCGGGCCTTAGCTGAGATGTCACCTTCTTTAGAAGGCCTCTCCTGACTGCTCAGGCTGGCTTGGGTATGTGGCTGTGTGCTCCCACAGCCCTCCGCCCTTCTTTGTGACTCTCAGCACCGTGTATGCTCCACAGGGGCAGAGCCTCATTTCCCCATCTACCCCTTTCCTTCACTAGGCTCAGCCCTTCTCGAATGAGTGAATGAGACCCGGTCCCTGCGTTCAAAAGCACTTGGATAGGGCTAACCTCTGCCCAGTTCTTTGTCCACTGGTATTGAGGGAGGGCCCATGGGTGTCCTCTTTTTCCTCCTGTGGAGGAGGAGGAGCCACATGACAGTGGTGGCAAACACAAAAGAAGGACTTTTCACATCAAGAGGTGTTAAGACCCAGGCCTTTCTGAGGTAACTTGGAGATCCATTAATAACATATTTTGCTTTAGGTTTACCAGTGATATGTGTGTAAGTGTATATGTGTACATACATACACACTCTCTCAATCCTTCTGAAAATCCCCTGGGGGAGATGGTATTATCCTGAGTTTATCCAGAACACTGGTGTGTCAGACAAGTTACCTGACTGTGAAAGCTGCCCAGTGCGCGTGTGGTGCAGCCGAGGCTCCAGACCTGGCCGCTGGCCCTGAGTGAAAGCAGACTGCTCAGAGGTGGGTCAGGAGTACCTTTGGACTGGGGAGAAATGGCATGGGAGGGATCTGACAGGTTTGAAACCTCTCACCCTTGGAGCTGAGGCTGCTGCTCTCTGTCCATCTGATTCTTATGAGGCATCCTATGATGTTTTCTCTCTGGGGATCGTAGCCTTCTGGCCTCTGTGATCCGAGGCCTGACTTGCTGGGATGAGCAGTGGAGGCTTGAGGTCTTTGCCAGGCGCACAGCCAGGGGCTTTGCTGTATAAGCCAGGTTCTCTGGTTCAGGTGAGTTTTACTGCTCGGGTGCTGTCTGTCTGACCCTATTGCTGTTCCTCACAAGGTCTTTCTGGGTGGGTTTGCTCACAGTCAGGTAGAACCACCTGATCCCCATTGGATGTGGACTCAAGATGATGCCTTGCACATCTCGAGTCTTCTGAAAAAGGGAAACCTTGTGTCAGCTCCCAGAGGTGGCTTCTGTCTTAGTGCTTGGAAGACAACTCTGTGAGAAGGCTGTGCCAGGGAATGCGCCTCGCCTGCTGTTAGCTTGGGGTACAGGGCTCTTGAATGCATCCAGTGAACAGTTATTACCTGAGTCCCTGCTGGGTGCCAAGTTCTGTGCTGGGTGCTCAGGGTGATGACATCTAATGGGCTGCATGGAGGTGCAGGTGTAGACACTGTTATGTGAAGGGTAGCCGAGTGCTGTCTTTGAGTTTGAATGGTGCACAGGGAACCCTGAAGAGTCAGCAGCAGCCTGGGGGAGGCAGTGCCAGCACGGAGGAGATGGTGTTGCGGCAGCGTTTTAAAGGCCAGGCAGAAGGGGCTCCATGACCAGTGAGGACCGTGTGTGCACAGGTCCGGAGTCAGGAGAGGGTCCCACAGGCTCTAAGGCCAGTGGGACACGTATGTGCCCATATTGTAAGTGCCTCTTGGGGACGGGTGGCAAAGGAGGCTGACAAGGTTAAAGAAGCTTTGCTTTCATTCAGTCGCCAGCACATTTCTTTCTTTTCTCCCCCTTGGCTTTATTGGGTTGTAATTGACAAACAACACTGCATAAGTTTAAGGTATAAGACGTGATGTTTTGATATATTGAAAAGTCAAAAGATTCTTAATTCTTAATTTTAAATTATGGCAAATTTAAAAGACCTGTGAAACCAACAGCCTAGGGCAGTGACCATGTACCTATCATCCCACTGCAAACGCACTAGCCCGCAGCTAGCCCTGCCTCCCCTTCGTGCCCTGACACCGACACCACAGACACCACGCCCACCTCCCCCTTCCCTGCTGGTCACTTTGAAGAAATCCCCGTGACTCGTGTATTCTCTCAAGCCTCGCCTGGGGCTTGTGATGGATTACTCTAGAATTTTGAGGCCTGGAGTGATCAGGTGGCACTTTGAGACTTTGTTTCATTTTCACAGGAACCACTAAGTTTCCCTTCTTTGTCTTGCCTTTCAGTGGGAAGTTGGTGTCTCCAAAGTGGAAGAATTTCAAGGGCTTGAAGCTCCAGTGGAGAGACAAGATTCGGCTCAATAATGCCATCTGGCGGGCATGGTACATGCAGTGTGAGTCCTACTTGGGCTTCTGGCAGGAGGGGACCACAGGGACCCCAAAGTTCTAGCACCTGGAAGCCTGTGCACTTTGGGTCCCCAGAGGCCACTTTTCAGACATTGTGCCTCAAAAGGAAGCCTCTCTTGGGCAGTCCGCAGCGATAGGAAAACCAAGCCAGATCCTAACGAACTGGTTACTTCTCGGCTGTCAGGCACAGGGGCCCAGTCGTGTGGTCCTGTAGTTGCCTATAATCTGCAGGAGACACATGTAGTAGCCAGTTGCTCACAGCCTCACGGGCTCACTGTTAGGTTAGACGCTTGGGCCCGGTGTTGTAAAGGCAGAGGAGGAAGGAGGCGTTAGTCCTTTCCAGGGGAGACCAGGAGGGTATAGTGGAGAGGTGACATTCAAAAGAGTCAGGGAACAGTTCCTATTTTCAAGGAAGATGGAGACCCAGAACATGTAGACCTTGTTCTGTTCCTAGCTGACTTCCATGCTGGTACATCCAGTGACCTCGGATCCACGTGCTTGGGGCATGCATGCTTGGGTTTGGCTGGCATTTCTCTTGATAAGCCAGACTCCCTGCCTTACCTGTGGGTTACAGATTCTTTTCCTTTATTCTCTGAAATCTTGTTTTCGAGGGAAAGAGAAGGAAAGAACACTTGGGAGGGTCCCACCTTGAGGGGCATGTGGACAGAGCAGCGGGGGCTCCTTCAGGGGTCTTGGTCATAGTGATGATGTCTCCTTTCTCTGCCCAGATTTGGAGAAGCGCAAGAATCCCGTGTGCCACTTCGTCACTCCACTAGATGGCTCTGTTGAAGTAGATGAGCATCGCAGGCCAGAGGTACTTGGCATAGGACCATCAGTAGCTGGAAAGGATCCTTCCTCATCAGGAGGAAGCAGCTCTCCCAGGGCTGGGAGTGGGGGGTGGATTCTGCAGTGGGGTTCAGGGAGACAGCCTGGCCGCACTGCCCTGGCAGCCCTGTTGACCTCACAAGGACCAGGATGTGACAGCCTGCGGGACTCCCCTCTTCTCTGGCTAGGCTGACCTGAGGACTAAGGGGTTCCCTCCTTGGGACTTACTCTCCACCTTGCCTTATGTTGGCATTTCTCTGGAAGTCAGCAGGAAGGGATTTAGTCTCCTTACAAGACAGATACCTTTAACAAAGAGTGATCTCAAGGGGTGCCTGGGTGGCTCATTCAGTTGAGTGTCTCCTTTTTTTATAAAAAATTTTTTTAATGTTTACTTATTTTTGAGATAGAGTCGAGCTGGGAAAGGGTAGAGAGACAGACACACAGAATCGGAAACAGGCTCCAGGCTGAGCTGTCAGCACAGAGCCCGAGGCGGGGCTCGAATCCACAAACCATGAGATCATAACCCAAGCCAAAGTTGGACACTTAACTGATTGAGCCACCCATGCGCCCCAGGCGTCTGACTCTTGATTTTGGCTCAGGTCATGATCTCAAAGTCATGGGATTGAGCCCTGCCTTGGGCTCCGTGCTGTGTGGAACCTACTTGGGATTTCTCTCTTTCTCTCTCCCTCTGCCCCTCTCCCCAGCTTTTATGCAGACATACATGCTCTCTCTCTCAAAAAATAAAATAAATCCTTTAAAAAAAAGTGACCTCAAGGTCTTTATGTGCTGAGATAGAAAGATGCTGAAGAAATAGTAAATTAAAAAAAAGTTGCACAGCTGTGTTTTAGTAACTTTATGTTAATTTTTTAAAGTGTGTAACTAGTAGCACCTGGGTAGCTCAGTCAGTTAAGTGTCCGACTTCGGCTCAGGTCATGATCTCACAGTTTACGGGTTCGAGCCCCATGTTGGGCTTCGTGCTGACAGCTCAGAGCCTGGAGCCTGCTTTGGATTTTGTGTGTGTGTCTCTCTCTCTCTGTCCCACCCTTGCTCATGCATGCTCATTCTCTCTCTCTCTCAAAAATAAACAAAATTTTAAAAATATAAATAAAGTGTATCTATGTGATTGTGGGTGTGTAGAAAAAGTCTAAAAGGATATACAGAAAATCTTTATTGGTGGGTACTTCTGGGAAAGAGGATTACAGTGAGGTGGGTGCTCTTTACACCCTTCTGCATTGTTTTAATGCTATCCAAGCACGTCTCACTGTTTGGATAGAATGGGAAAAATTAGAAAGTAACCCAATGAAAGACATTTTGAGCTGTGGGTGTGATCTGGTATTGGACAATATTAAGGAATATCATTTTGTTGGGTTTGGTGATAATACTGTATTATTCACTGTGAACAGTGAAGTATTTTTAGGTGAAATTAAGTGGGTCTTATGATATCTGGGGCTTGCTTATATACACTCCCACCATAAACAAAAAGGAATCTGAAAGAGAGGCAGGCTCTCTGAGCCAGTCGTGACTTCTTTGTCACCAGAGCTCTTCAGGGATATTGTGGAAGGGGATCACAGGCATGATGGAAAGGTTGAAGTAGCTACTCTTGGAAGTCACTTTCCACCTAAAACTTCTGGGATTGTCCATTTGTTTTTACCCTTTGAAAATGTGGCAGCGTCTCCTGGATAAGGCATTCAGTGGTACCCCGGGCTCTCTCTGTAGGGCTCTTCCAGCACCGGGGCTGAGGGCCCTCTCCCACTCCCGCTGCCCTTTCTGAGTACTCTCTCCAACCCATGCTCCAATCCGGACCCTTGGGACCCATGCTGCTGAAGCTGCCCTTGGTTATCTGAGGTCATGAAATAAAAGCACATCCGTAGGTAGGGGCTAGTTGTAGCACAGAAGAGGCGGGAAACGGGGTGCCTGGGTGGCTCAGTTGGTTGAACATCTGACTTCGGCTCAGGTCATGATTTCATAGTTCGTGGGTTCAAGCCCTGCGTCGGGCTCTGTGCTGACAGCTCAGAGCCTAGAGCCTGCTTCACATTCTGTATCTCCCTCTCTCTCTGACCCTCCCCTGCTCACACTGCCTCTCTCTCTCAGTAATAAATAAAACATTTAAAAAATTAAAAGAAGAAGAAGAAGAGGCGGGACACAGCTGTGAATAAAGTGGTATTCATGTGGCAGGGTTCTCGGAGCTGACTGCCCAGGGCTGACTCCCAGTGTCAGATGCGTCTTTGTTTTCAGGCTGAGTTCTGCCAGTCAGCCTAGGTGCCCCTCTTTTGACTGTGACCTGCATGTCTTCACAGGCCATCACCACGGAAGGGAAGTACTGGAAAAGCCGCATTGAGATCGTGATCCGGGAGTATCACAAGTGGAGAACCTACTTCAAGAAAAGGGTACCTGGCTTGGGCCAAGAGGAGCATGTGCAGGAAGGCCCCATAGAGGAGGGAAGGACCGAAGTTCTGTATTCAGACCCTGGCCCCGGGCGCTGTGGCTCCGCTGCTGCTCCCACGGCACCCGGTGTTCTAGCCCAGCCCAAGGGATGGCCCTGCCCTGGTCCTGTTACCTGTGGTCTCACTTTCTCCCGCTGCGAGCCAGGGCTCTTTATTCCACAGACGCTGGTTGGGAATCTCGCCTGTGCCCAGCGTGGGCCTGGGGATGGCAGAGAGCAGGATCCCTCCCAGGCCCCTGAGGGAACAGCCTTTCTCCCCTTTACTCTGCAGCTGCAGCAGCACAAAGATGAGGACCTCTCCAGCCTGGCCCAGGTGAGTGCGCGGGGGGCTGGGAGGACCCTCCGGGGAACCGTCCTCTGACGGGAAGCAGCAATGACGTGGGTGGCCCCACGGTGAAGCCCGCAGCAGAAGGTCTAGGGACACAGACTGTCCCTGCGGCTCCAGGAGGGGCCATCCCCCTTGTCACACAGAGGACATGTGGGCTGAGGAAACAGGCCAGTTCTCCCTGCTCTACCCACCGCCTCATCTTTCACAGCAGCCCTTGCGCGCTGTAAAGTAGGGTAACACACCTCCCTGGCATGAAGCGATTGGGAATTCCCAGTTCACCAGTCTCCTTGCCCTTTTCCTTCCCCTTCTGTTGGCGGTAGGATGATGACATGCTTTATTGGCACAAGCGTGGGGATGGATGGAAGACCCCGGTGCCCATGGAGGAAGACCCGCTGCTGGACACGGACATGCTCATGTCAGAATTCAGCGACACCCTCTTCTCCACACTTTCCTCTCACCAGCCGGTGGCCTGGCCCAACCCCCGGGAAATAGGTAACTGCCTCCAGATCCTTGACTTCCAACAAGGATCCTTGGTTTCCTTCTCTGCCAGCCCCACCCCCCCACCCCTGCCCCCTGGGCAGGATTTGCCTCAAGGCCATCTCTGAGCTGCAGTCACTTATTTAGGGCAGGCAGCAAGGAGAAGGATTGGCAATGTCACTGGCATCTGAAAGTCACGGGTGCTGAGAGGGTGGGGACTGCAAACGGGCTTTCCTGAGCAGCTGTCAAGCCTGTGGTGCCACTGTGAGAAGACGGTGGAGATTTGTTCTGAATCAGTTTCACATTTCTGATACTCTCCCCTTAGCAGAGGATTTGTGCCTAGGCCAGGTGACAGGGCTTCTGACTCACTGCGAAGAAAATTAAGCATTCCTGGGCATGACCTTTTACCTGTCAGCATTCAGGCATCCAGTTACCCCTCAGAAGGAGCCCACAGACCAGCAGTCAGAACTGGGGACCTCTGCATAGCTGTTCTTGGCTTCTTGGAAGTGTCTGGCCCCTGCTATTCGCTTCACTTTTCTTATGAAAACACACTTTCTTTCCTGCCTTCTGAGGGTGAAGGATAGCCATGAACTCACAAGAAGGTAGAAATTCTAGCCAGCTCCCTACACTTCTCTGTGGAAGAATCTGGAATGTGAACAGGGCCAGGAGGATCCCTTCCAGGCCTTTTATGTATTCCTGCAACATTGTCTGAGATAGCAGAATGATTCCTCTGTCTCCTTTCTGATTCTTACAGCACATCTGGGAAATGCAGACATGATCCAGCCGGGGCTCATCCCTCTGCAGCCCAACCTGGACTTCATGGACACATTTGAACCTTTCCAGGGTGAGGACTTGGGGCAGGGAGAGAGCATGGCTGCTGGGAGCTCCTTTTGCCCAGGACAAAGCACACCGGTGCTTCCCTTTCATGGAGGGAACTGCCAGAATGGGCAAAGGGGAAGAGTTGGAATTTTTCCGGAACTACCTTTTTTGGTAGTAGTTGTAAGGTCTGGGAAGCTTTTCGCCATTCTCATTCCTGCGGTCTCAGATCCCCAGGTTTGCCCAGGACCGTAAGCAGTTCTCCCTCTAGGCAGCAGAGGGCGCTGGCAACACAGCCGCCTCCCAGCAGTGTCCTGCAGTTAGAACTGGGCTTGTAAGAGGCCACGAAACGCCAGGCCTGGGAGTATTTCAGAGCCCACACTAGTTGCCAGCATGAGCGGTTCCAATCAGAGGGCCTCTTTCTGCAGAGTTACCTCAGGGGGGAACGCCCTCTGGCCATGGCATTCCTCTGGGTAAGATGGGGCTCAGTGCCCTATTTGTTTGGATCTTAATTCAAGGACGCAATGGGCACACAGAGCTCAAAAGCCACCCCCCCCCCCCGCCCGATGTTGTCTTTCAGACCTCTTCTCTTCCAGCCGCTCCATTTTTGGTTCCGTGCTGCCTGCTCCTGTCTCAGCACCTGCACCAGATCCCAACAGCCCACCTGCTCAGGTAGAGGGAACTGGGGCGAGGGGGCCGAAGGCCAGGCTAATGAATAACCACACAGTCGTAAGCAACACATTAGGGCTTGCTAGACCTAGTGCTGAACACACACTTAATGCAACAAGAAGTTATTCTAGCCCTCCTCTAGAGCATGCAGAGGTCTCTAAGAGGTGGGGGATGGTCAGTAAGCATGTGCTCCTGCTAAGGCTGCACAAACCCCTGTGCAGTGTGCTCTGTTCTGATCAGTTCATAGAAGATTAGCAAAGAAAAACATGGGTCGCTAATAAAAAGAAGTTCTGTGTATTTCTTTTACTCTTTACTCAACAATTAACAGAAGTGGGTTATCAGGCGCTGGGGCTGCAGAGCTGTGTGAGGCATGGCTCTTTGCCCTTAGGGCCTCTCAGGCTGGTACCCGTATCCAGTTAGACACCAGAAACCTGGCCCTGTCTTCTTCCATCTGGCTCTGGGAAGAATTTCTTCTATAGAGACTGCGATCCTGACAATTGATTCCTTATAGCGTTTCCCTTTTAAGAAGAGGTGACCTCTAGAAGTTGATATATGAAACTGTCCTGGGGGAACCCCATGAGCAGCTGTGATCCAGGCTGCCTCTGCTCTGTAACAGAAGATGGCAGGGACTTTGGGGGGACCCCTGCCGGACTTCAGAAACAAGATATTCCCAGGCCTAGAGCCAACTGTGTGCAGACAGTCTGAGCTCTGTGTTATCATTTAGTCCCTAATGGAAACAAGACCCCTGCGGATGCCTGGGGAGACACAGCTCCATTCCCCCCAGATCAGCAGCAGTGGGGATGGGAACCATCGCCTTGTCCCTCTGTCCGGAGGTTCTGCTCAGGCGCCCAGCACATGTGGTTGGCCTTTGTGGTGTGTTGTACCAGGAAGTGACAGCAAGTTGTGTGATCAAACATTTATTTGTCCTTCCTTTCTCAGGAGAGCATCCTGCCGCCCCCCACTCTCCCCACCGTGAACCTCCCTGATGGCCTCATTTCACCTCCTGCAGCCACCACCCTAGACCCTACGGATAGGCAGGGCTGTGATCGCGCTCCCCCGCCCGGAGACCCCTTTATCCAGCCTCCAGACTTCGGTCCCTCTGCACCGCCGCCGAGTGTCCCCCAGCCTTTCCTCCCGGTGTTCACCATGCCCTTGCTGTCTCCCAGCCCTGCCCCGGCGCCTGCTTCCCCTGCTCTGTCGTTAGCCCCACCCCCTGCCACTGCCTTGAGCCCCCTGGCTCCACCCGCCTTCCTGCAGCCCAAGTTTGCTGGAGCCAGCAAGTCTCCCTCCGTCATCACGCACACGGCCTCCGCCACCCTCACCCACGATGCATCTGCCACCACCTTCAGCCAGAGCCAGGGCCTTGTCATCACAACCCACCATCCCACGCCTTCGGTGTCCCCCTGTGGCCTGGCGCTGCCTCCGGTCACCCGGCCGCCAACCGCTGGGCCCTCTCAACCCTGTTTAACTTTTGTGCAACCTAAACCGGTCTCCTTGACTGGGGGGAGGCCCAAGCAGCCCCCCAAAATAGTGCCTGCTCCCAAACCAGAGCCTGTGTCCTTGGTATTGAAGAATGCTTGCATCGCCTCAGGTAAGTCAGGTGCAAGGAAGCAGAGTCTGGTCTCCCCTTCCTGAGGAATATTCCCTGTCCTGAGGCTTGCAGACTTGTCACACACACACACACACACACAGAGTGATGTGAAGTCAGTGTTCTGATCTGCTGCATGTGTGTGACCTAGTCTCTTGTGTATTCTCTGTTGTTCTTTTAAAGTTAGTCTCAACCCAGTTTGAAAAAGCTTGGTCCGGGTGATCTCTTTCCTGGGTCTATAATCTGTCCCCTTCAAGGAGAAGTTGCAAAGCAAATGTCAGGTACCCTGGTGGTCTTGCCTTTCCTGTGGTGAGGAAAGCAATGTCTGAGCAGCAGCAGAGGGGCTAGGCTGCTCCCAGGAAGTGCGGCGTGGCTGTGCCTGGCCCAGCGGTGTCAGGAACAGGCCCCCTGTATCTCAGGGACACCCCCTCACCTTCTTGTTCTGGCAGCTGCCTTTTCAGGACAGCCACAAGCAGTGATTATGACATCAGGCCCTCTGAAGAGAGAAGGGATGTTGGCTTCCACTGTGTCCCAGTCCAATGTGGTCCTCACGCCTGCCGCCATTGCCCGGGTGAGGGGGCCCTGCACAGACCGTCAGCATCCTTATAACCCCAGCGTGGCCCTGCTTTTGGGTGGTTCTCACCCAACACGACTGGTTGGGAGTGACCTCTCTCTCATGTCACTCAGGCTCCTAGAGTCACGGAGTTCCACAGCGGCATCCTGGTGACAGACCTCGGCCATCCCACGAGCAGCCAGCCGGCTTCTGTCTCTCGGCTCTTCTCTCCAAGCACAGTGCAGGAGTCCCTGGTGAAGGGCGAGCAGGCCTCTGCGACGGGCTCCAGTGAGTGTGTGCTCCAGCCGGAGCAGTTGGGACTGTGTGAGCGAAATGAGAGCGCCCACTCCTGGGTCAGGGACGCCGCCTGTGGGCTTCACTAGGATGGAGGCTGGGCTTACCGGATGTGCAGTGACGTCTTACAAGCCTGCTGGTGGCCCGGGCTAGGAAGGGCTCGGGGTAGTGCCGGATCATCCACAGCAGCAGAAAGGCGGCAAGCGTGTGCAGTGCCGGCAACTAAAGCACTTGGGGGCCACCACCCCGACCTTCAGAAAGGCCTGGCTCTGAGCTGCCTGTTCTGATCCAGAAAGGGGGCCTAAGAGTCCTTGTCAGTGGTTTCCAGAAAACGGAAACCACCCAGCCTCCTCTACACATCAGTGTAGTCATCCCTGTGTTTTCAAGAACCTTCCATCTGCTGAAACTATTTCCACACTGTGGGCCTTCTATTGGCCAGTCGTTGGGGTAGAACTGATTTTGCTCAGCGAAGAGCTGAGGAGCAGGGATAAATGATTTGCCCGAGGCTGCGCCCCTCGTGGCAGGGGTAGAACCAGAACCCAGCTCCTTCCTTTCAGATGCCACATCAGAGAGGGAGACCAAAGGAGCTCTCGTCTGAAGTAAAAGCAGGGCGTGGCTGCTCCTGGAGCTCAGTGTAAACAGTTGTCTTCTCTGAGCAGGAAGACACAAGGAGGAGAGATCTCTGCTTACAGAGATCAGCCAGTACAGGGACTTGTCCAAGGAGGCCTAGAAGAACAAGGGCCTCCAATCTGGAAAGATAAAGACAAAGACTAGTTATGAGTCAGGCCCCTGCCACCGTGTGAGTTAGGGCTCAGGTAGTGTCGTCTTGTCCGCTGAGGCACTCAACACCGGGCGTCAGAGTCACGTGGAGAATTCCACCTGAGAGAGCACCACGGGGGGGCGGTGCCGCAGACGAGTGCACTGAGTGGGGCAGCCCCAGGGGCTCAGAGGGACTCCTGAGAGATGCCAGTGACCAGGGTGTAGCTGGCGTGGCAGTGGGCAGGATTGAAGAAAGTATAAGAAAATGTATATGTAGAGTTGGGAGAACAAAAATAAACAGGTATCTGTGTACTGGACACACAGGGTAAGAACCAGAGCCTTACCAAGGCTGCGGAAAACCCAGGTTGCCTCCAGGTGGCTTTTTAGCAGGTTGGGTTAGCAGTCAGACCTCCCCTCAAAACTCTCTGTGTCCCCCAAGACCTATGGCTGGCCGAGCTCATGCTGTGTCCCCACTCCACGTCCAGCCAGCCTTCTTCAGGCCTCGTCCACACCTAACAGAACCCGCCTTGGGATGTGGGCAAGGATTTCTCCAGTTTGCTCTGTGGTCGCTGCGGGAGGGTCCAGATGGGTTTCCAGGGTTCGGGATTTGCAGGGGTTCCTTTCATGGGTGAGGACTGCTCCAGCTGCTGTAGTTGGCCATGTCCTAAGGTGGGGGGGGTGGGGGTGTCTCTGTTCTTCTCAGGTCGAGATTGCCCGAACTCGGGGCAGGCCTCTCCGTGTGCTTCAGAGCAGAGCCCCAGTCCCCAGTCTCCCCAGAACAACTGCTCAGGGAAATCTGCAGACCCCAAAAATGTGGCTGCTTTAAAGGTATCACGGGTCTCTCTTGGATCTTGATTTCCTTGGAGGGATGGGGAAGAATGGAGAATATCAAGGGACCACTGGGGCAGCTGCGTCCTTTACTAGGGACACACAGGAAAGGACGACCACACGCTTGGCTGGTGTTCATTAGGAACCTGGGCATTTGCTACTTTAACCTCGAGATTAGGTCGCCTCTTCCCATTCCCCGACCTACTGGCAGGCCCTGATCCCTGGAACCAGCATCAAACCCTGTAATATGCCAGGAGGCCACAGCTGTAGGAACCGGGTCCGTGGAGGAGGGGTCTGAGGGTGACTGGGAGGTGCCGATCAGCAGGAGTCATGGCCCCTGCCGAGGTTCTCCATTCTGCGGGGGGCAGGGGGAGGTGGCCTCCGCCACCACATCACAGTGACCCTTTGATTCCCCAGCAGAACCGGCAGATGAAGCATATTTCAGCTGAGCAGAAAAGGCGCTTCAACATCAAGATGGGCTTTGACACCCTTAACAGTTTGATTTCTAATAATTCCAAGCTGGTGAGTGGCGTTGAGTGGGTGAGGAGCCCCTGCGTTGGCCTCGGTGCCAGGTGGACGGGCAGGGCCACTGTGGCCACTGTGGCTTTGACCCTGCCGCCCCTCCCACAGACCAGCCACGCCATCACACTGCAAAAGACCGTGGAGTACATCACCAAGCTGCAGCAGGAGCGGAGCCAGATGCAGGAGGAGGCCCGGCGGCTGCGGGAGGAGATCGAGGAGCTCAACGCCACCATCATGTGAGGCTGGGGACGTGTGGCCCCGGGGCTGGCGCCTCGCGCTCCGCTGCGCGTGTCGCAGAGGCCCCACCACCTGTAGCTGCCTCTCTGTTGCGGCGCCCCGGGTTTCTGTCTTCCTCCTCCTTCTGAGGCCCCTCCTCTTGGGCCTGCCATGGCCGACCACGGGCTGGCCCTGCCCGTTCCGTGCCCCAGGGTCCGGCGTCACCGCCGGCCGCTTGGAGCTGCCTCTGACTCGCCCTGTTGTTGCAGCTCCTGCCAGCAGCTGCTCCCTGCCACCGGAGTCCCCGTCACCCGGCGCCAGTTCGATCACATGAGAGACATGTTTGACGAGTATGTGAAAAGCCGGACCCTACAGAATTGGAAGTTCTGGATTGTATCTTTGGGTTTTCTTGGCTTCTCCCCACCCCACCCCCCCCCCAGCTCTGGGTACGCTTAAATAACAGACGCTGACACCCCAGTTATTTTAGAAAAAATTCCCTATACATGGTCATCGTTGGGCTCGTCAAACAGGTGGTACTGGCTGCTGCCTCGGGACGGGGGCCTGGCCAGGCCCGTGCTGTGAAGTGAGGGTGTCGTTGGTGACTATCCAGGCTTGCGGCTTCCTGGGGAGGCAGAGCAGACCAGCTTTGCCTTCACGGCTCCTGGGAAATAAAGACACTTGGCTGTAAGGAGCTAGAGCCACTTGTAGAGGCGACCCTGTAGGAAGGAGGCGGGATCTCGCCTGACACCCCTGGCAGCCATCTCAGTCCATGCGGTAACTTACGTAGGGAGGGTGAGCCCTGCCCCTGCGGTGGCTGAGGAACCCGAGCTCGCAAGTGACCGGGTAGCACAGTCGCGGTTTGAAACCAGCTCCCTCGAGGCTATTGTTGGTGTGTGGGCCACGTGGTCTCTGGTGCTATCATGAGGCACGTGCACCTGAGGACTGGGGCCTGTCTCTGAGGCCGAGGCCCACCTGCATTCAGCTTCCAGCTGTCCCTCTGAGGGACAACTCCTGCCTCGTCAGTCCCCTTCCAGCCACATCTCTGCCTCAGACGGTCTGCACACACGGTGGTTGGCCATGTGCCTCCACCTTGTTACTGACAGAGGAGGCAGAGGATTTTAGCTGTTTGCACTCTAACGGCTGGTTTTAAAGAGAGGAGAGATGACAGACACCGGCTCTGTGTCCTCTGCTTTGCCTGGCTGGCTCAGCCCAGCTCTCCCCTCATCCCAATGGAGCGGGCGGCAGCTGGGCCGAGCCAGAACCTCTTTAGGAAAATGGCACATTCCCCATTGGGCCGAGGCTCGGACCGCGGGCATTAACGTGGCTCAGATCGAGGAGAAAGTGCACCTCATTGCTTTCGCTAAGCTGACTGTCTAGAGTGGTTGGGGGGAGCTGCATGGAATGTGACTAAGAGCCAGCATGTGTGTTTGTCACAAGAGCCAGGCCTCGTCCATCTCTAGACAGCTTCCACCATTTGGTCTGCTGAGTGCCTCTGATATTCCTGCCAGTTATACAGAAGGACTTTGGCTTTCGTGCGTGTCCTTGTGCCAGGACCCGTTCCACACCAAGGGAACCTCTCAGTCCCTGCCTCTGGCTTGCTCCATGGTCACTAACCTGTCGCTCAGTTACAGTTAGATGGGAACGTTTTAGGGAAGTGTGCTTCTTACCTAGATGTCTGTCTCTCATCCACTCGTCTGTACAGCCCCAGGGGAACTGGCCACAGGCAGGCCTGTAACTGGACGTAATCCTCCCCACCCTCGGTTACGTGTTTGCCGGTCCTCCTCCTCGCTTACGTTTTCTTTAACCCACATGCCGTGCAGTTCAGTATCATCATCAAGCCGCTCTTTGAGTCCTTCAAGGGGATGGTGTCCACCAGCAGCCTGGAAGAGCTGCACCGGACGGCGCTGTCCTGGCTGGACCAGCACTGCTCCCTGCCCATCCTCAGGCCAAGTGAGTGGGGGCCAGTGGGAGCCAAGGTGCCACGGGGCTTGCCCGCCCTCTACGATGGTCCCGGAGGGAGGAGGGCCTTAGCTGCAGACGGTGCTGTAGCCCGTCCAGGCTAGCAGTGCTGAGAGCACAGGACGATGCTGTGTAGGTGACCCTGAGCCAGAAATGCCAACCACAGGGCAGGGGGCAGACCCCCTAGCGCCTCTGCTTCGCTTCCCGCCGTCCCTGTGTGTCAGCGTGCTCAGGTCCAGCTCGCGTTTACTGAGCACCGCTGTGCAGCAGGCCCTGTCTCGGTGCTTTCAGATGTTTGCTGATTTCTTATAATTTCCAAGGCTATGCCTGTATATTGAGGTTAAAACAAGCGGACATTGGGGCGCTCTGCCAGTTAAGCGTTCATCTTCGGCTCAGGTCATGATCTCACAGTCCGTGGGTTCAAGCCCCGTGTCAGGCTCTGTGCTGACAGCTCAGAGCCAGGAGCCTGCTTCAGGTTCTGTATCTCCCTCTCTCTCTCTGCCCCTCCCCCATGCACTCTCTGTCTCTCAAAATAAAGACATAAAATTTAAAAATAAAAGAACACAAAAACAAGCGGACAAGCGGACAAGCGGAACAGCTAGGGATTCTCTGCCTGTCTGCAGGATGGGAGGCAGGATTCGGAGAGTTATCCTAGGGGCAGAGAGGCTTTGCTGGCATTTGTCCCTTACTTGAGCTCAGTGCCTCTCCTTGGGCGGGCATGGGAATTACCACATGGCTCGTATGTGTCAGACCTTGCATGCTGTTGTTGTGGGGCTCAGAGCTGCCGCGTGTGCCTGTGTCCCTGAGCTAACCTCCCCCTTCCTTCCAGCGGTGCTGAACACCCTCCGGCACCTGAGCACCACCACCTCCATTCTGACAGACCCGTCCCAGCTGCCGGAGCAGGCGGCAGAGGCTGTCACCAGAATTGGCAAGAGATCAGGGGAATCTTAGCAGCGCCTGGCGGGGACGTGGCCACACACGATGCCATGAGGCTCTTCCCTGCGTGCGGAGAGGATGCTGCACCCCACGCCTCTCTTGATGCAGCGCTCAGGGCCCCCCTCCAACTCCATTGGCCCACTGGGCCACTCAGAACACTGCGCTCAGGTCTGAAGCAGGTTCGGGTCCTGCCAACAGCAATAGCCCATCTTTGGGAACCCCTTGCTGTGAACTCTCACTCAGCGACCTCAGTCGTGACCTCCCCTGCCCTCAGGCAGCCCAAAGTCCCGTCCTGCTGGTGGTCTGCGGGCCCATGGTGCCCAGCAGATGGGAGTAGATGGGACAAAGGGGGCAGGGCCTCCTCCTGTGAGCTAAGAGGCTTAAGGGTTCCTGTCCGGTTCTGTCCTCAGACTTAGAGATGCTCCCTCCTGTCACCCCCCAGGCAGTCAGATGGCTCCGAGTGACCCCTGTGCCGCTCTGACATGCTCCCGGGGCAGGTGGAAGGCGTCTTTCTTCCTCCCTCAGACTCTGACCTTGTAAGTAGGTTTGGACGGCTGCTCAGGCTTGCGCATGGCAGGCTGTCTCCCACCGCACCGGCCACCAGGGAGCCTCCGAACCCGCGTGCAGAAGCAGTGGGTTTGAATGCACGCGGGACCAGAAGGAAAGCACGAGCAATGCAAAGCTGCCGCCCTGGCTCAGAAACCCCCTCGGGCGGCACTGCGGTCTGGGATGACTTCGTTCTTCCTGGCATTGTGATGGCCACACGTCGCTGACTGGAGAACCGTGGCCCGAGGAGGCCCCACCTCACCGCAGGCCCTCGTTCTCCGCCTGCTTCCAAGCCGCAGCCTCGGACGGAGCAGCAGCCTTCGGTGGACGCGTACAGCCCTCAGGGTACAGCATCTGAAAGGCCAGACTCCGCGGCGCCGTCATCGGCCTGGTCATCTTGTCCGGATTGTTCAGCCAGGAACACCAAACCGTAACAGTTCTCGGACCAAAGATGTCACCACACCCAAAGTCTGCCCTGTCTTGTGTTTGGAGGAAGAAATCGAGTGTTGACAGGCAGAACTCTGAGGCAGCCAGCCTTCGAGCGGTCTCTAGGCACCTCCCGGATTGCAGGGAAGAGTTACACTCCTCTTTGGTCAAGGTGGCGGGATGGCTGGAGGCCATGGCCTGCTTCCGAACGGGGGGACTTCCAGCTCGGGGGCCGGGCCGTTCTCTTGCTGTACCTGCAGGAGGAGCTGCAGACGGGAGGGCCGGCGCTCGCTCTAACCTCTACCACTCAGGAAGCCCAGCCGAGGGTACCTCCTTGTTCAAAGAATGTGCTTCTGACGTCCTGCTGCGAAGTCCAGAGGGCCGGTGGACTTGCGTTCGACCTCTGGCCTCCCTGCAGGGATGGAGCCCGGGCAGGCTGGGCAGGCCGGGCCGAGCTCCGCCGGGGCTCCAGGGGCTGCCTCCTGAGGCCTGGGTCCACCCGAAGGCTCCCACTGGTTCCCGGAGGCCTGCCGGAGGTGCCCTGAGGGCAGCCAGCCCCGCCTCAGCCCCAGCCCGTGAAGGGGGTGTCCTCTCCCTGCCGCCGGCCATACCCGCCGTCTCTGCTGCGGGTCACCGACCGGTCGCCTGCTCCCGTGTCTGTGCTTCAGCCGCATACAAGAGCAGCTTGGCGGCACCCCTCAGCCTCCCCAGAAAAACATGTTTACAGGCCTTCCAGATCACTCCCCTGAGGGGCGAGCACAGCACAGGGCAGGGCTCATCCTTCATATCCACTGGGAAGTGGTAGGAGGACTCGCCCCCCACCCCCCAGGGTAACCGGAAAGTCTCCCTTCAGAAGGGGGAAGACCACCATGGTAAGAACTCATTAGGGTCAAAAGGAGAAACATAAGATGTCCCCAGCTATGAGGGCTCGTGGAGGGTCATGAGCCCGGTCCCTTCCACGGCTCCTGTGCCTTTGTAAACCGCGTGGATGGCCGCAGTGCTTGGCCCACCCAGGCCTCTCCTGAATCAGCAGCCTTCCGCGCACCCCGTGCTGGGTTTTTGTTTGTTTGTTTGTTTGTTTTTTTTTTTTAACTCCATGGGGTATAAAATCGGCCTCCTGCTTCTTCGGCCTACCTCTCCTCCTCTCCCTTTTGCTGAATTAATGTTCATGATTCCGTTTTGTTGAATATTTAAGGCTGTTAGGTCACGTGAGACTTTGAGGGGTATGAGAGAGAGAGAGAGAGCGAGAGAGTGTGTGTGTGTGTGTATGTGTGTGTGTCCTAGCAGACTGTTGACTAGATGCATGTTTTTGTTTCAAGATAATTACTTAAATCCATTTCTCTTGGTGCTCACGATTACCACGGCTGTAGGGCCACAACGCTGAATCTCTTACCACAGACACGATTGTTTCTTGTCCCAGAATCATTTCTTGCTTGTTTCGGAATCGTGTTCGATGAACATAGTCAGACAGGGGGCCCGGCCTGCGTGCAGGGTCAGCGAGACCACTCTGCTGGCGGCCGCCAGGGGGCGCTGGCCCCGGGGCTGTGCCGTGTTTACACTCCTTCTCACCCCTGCTCCTGCCTCTACTCCCAGGAAGGAAACATTAAAACGCTGACACTTTGGAGAATTAGACAAACAATCGGAAAAGGAAAAAAAAAAGGCCCATCTGGCATATAAATCTTTGAAAAGCATTTCTGTGAAATCTTTCTGTGCCATCAGTTCCCTTCACACTGCTGCCTGCTCTGTCACAGCGAGTGGGTCAGGCAGGGACAGGGCAGGTGCCGCCCTGGGGCTTTCTGAGAGTGGCTGGCCGTCCCTCCCGCCTCTGGCCTCAGGCGGTTGCCCGCCCGCAGTCACCCTCGCCGGTGCTCCCGGCCGCTGTCCAGCCATTTTCTCACACTGGAGCTGTGGTTCCAGCATCAGACAGTAGTTCACGGGCGTCACCGGCTCTTGTCGGGAGGAGGGAACCCCCCGCCCTGCCCTGTTCCTGGAACCTTTGCAGGAGGAGGGGCGATCAGTCCCATGAGTCCTTGGGCACCTGGCTTCATCGGCTTCCCGACCTTGTGACCTGACCCCTTCCCTTTGCTAGAGGTCGGGCCTGAAGGTTTTGCTGCTCTGGTCGATAGAAACATAAACTTAGACTGTGAGGGAGCGTGGCACCCCAGGGTGGTGCCGGCCCCCTTTGTCTGGCCCCAGGTGCGGGGGTCTGAGAACTGAAGAATGAGCAGGTTGGTGGTTTCCAGGGTTACGAGCTGTCACCGTGTAGCTGAAGCACACATGCTACGTGGGGCCAGGCTGTCCCTCAACAGTCTCGGCCCCGCTGCCCGGGGCCCTGCACGCTGGGTGCGAGCTGGCCCTCACGCTCTTTTCTCCCTGGTGGGAAGTTGCCTTTCCCTAGAGACGCCCTGCTTCTCATTATGCACTTTGCCAGTGGTGACACCTGCCCACCACTAGCCGCAACTTAGCTGTGCCAAGTGTCCTGCAGGCGCGGTCTCGTCAGGAAAGGGAGCTGGGGGGCCCTGACGTGGGCCGTAGTCTGTGCCGCGGGGCCCCAGTGCCTTGTGTGTTAAAGAGAATCTTCACCACGTCTGGACACGGACAAGGGGAGGGGAGGGCAGGGCTGGAGGGCGGAAGAGCTTGGACAGATGCTCAACACCTGTTTGTACCATTCAGTAGTCTCCTTGGCCTTGAACCCGTCCAATCGGAGGGGCTGCAGGAGCAAGGAGAAGCCTTAGGACCCACCGTGCACCTCCACAGCTGCTCCATTTTCTTTTCCTTCCGAGGACTTGGCTTTCCTGGCTCATCACACAGGGGGGCTGTTTCCTTGTCAGGGTTTTTGCGAAAATCAGCCTTTGACAAAGAAAAGGGAACTTTTCATGTTGAATGTTGGCTTTGACTCTGTGTGTGTGTGTGTGTGTTGTGTGTGCGTGTGCGCGTGCATGTGCTTGCACAAGCCTGCCTGTGTGCATTTACTTAATGGAATTTTATTTTTGTGAAATTCCTTCCCAAGTATGTAGCAAAATTCACCTCGATCTCCCAGGCAGACTTCCGGTTCCACAGTCAACCCTGGGCATCACTCATTTGAAGAATTCTCTTCTGGGTTTCTTAACAGAGGTGTGCTACTCGCAAGGCTTGAGGTTCTGGAAGGTTGGGAGACACACACGTTTTTTCTATCGAGTTTCCATCCTACAGTCGAAGGGTCTGAAGGGCTTGGGCCCAGGAGACACAACTCCAGGCTGTTTCTCCCAAGCGAGCTTGAACACAGCCTGTCCCCTGCAACGCCCTGCTGTCTGTGTACCCGAACCTTCTCAGACAGCCCCCGAAAGGAAACCGGATTCATCTACTCACTTTGTAACATCACGGCTGAGCCACCACGTTCTCTTCCTTTTCCAGGTTTCAATTTTCAGTATGTAACTGGCTCGTTTTTTCTCTTGTGAGCTTTGGTAATTGTCAGGGCTCCATTAGGAGGAAGTCTCCTCTCGTGGTCTGAAAAGCAAAACCGAAGAAGAGCCTTGTTAATCGGAGGCTCCTTCAGGCCTGCGCCATCCAGAACACCACCCTTCATGCTCCGCTGCCGAGAAGCACGTTTCCACCAGCTGTATTCAACACTACAATGCAGTTTTAAAACTATATTTGCATCCGAGACAATAAAAAGCTGTATTTTTTTTGAAAAGCCTGTGACGTGTGGTCTTAAGTGCTGCTCTGTTGGGCTGTGGAAGAGATGATTCAGGGAAATGGGAACAAAGTGATGCCAAGCCTGGCTCACTCATTCTAACCTTGAGGGCTGGGTTCAGCCTACGCCAGAGGCCTTGGCGCGGAGAAGAGAGGCCCGAGGTGGGTAGGGGGTCCTGAAGAGAGGCTTCTGGAAAGGCCCATGACAGAAGCCCGAAATGACCAGTTCTCCCTGTGAACTCGCCAAGGTGGACAGAGCATCGTGGCGTTTGCACATCCACGTCCCCATCTGAGCCTGGGCAGGCAGTTGAACAGGGCGGTCGTGCCAGGGTGTGCAGTCACCCATGGAGCACTGCACTTAGAGAGTACAGGTTATCGGTGTGGCTAACACTGGCCCCGGTGCTGAAAGTCTTCCGAGTCGTGGTGATGGCCCCAGGAGGCTGGGGCCTCCCTGCTGACCACTGGCCCAAAACCATAGGTGGAGAATGCAGGGACGTCGAGCAGCAAAGATGTCCCGTAGCCGTGCCGAGAAGACTTTGATGATCTGTGTTTAATTTAGGAGCTACTCTTTTCCATACCATCTTCCTGTGTCCCCCAGCGCAGTCACTTGTGCCTGGGAGATGACCCAGTGAACCGACCCACTCATGCTGCCTCTTGCAGGCGGCCCGGCTCCTGCGTGGAGCTGCCAGCTTGTTTCACCAAATGGCCCAGATCTGCATCTCTGACTAAAATGCCGTGGGTTGATACACAGGCTCTTGTCTGATTAAACCTGCTGCCTCCCCCAGAGAAAAAGTCTTAGTGACACAAAGCAAGATTTTGGGTCTTGAGAACAGGAGGCCCTAGAAACAAGTGAGTGATTCTCAGACTCCTCTGGGCTGAAGAAACTCCATTTCCATTGAGCAACAAGTGTCTGCCTTGCTCTGTAAAAGTTTTTGAACCCAGTTCCATGTCATGTGTGGAATCTTGAAAGATGCTTGGGACGGGGCACCTGGGGGCTCAGTCGGTTACACGTCCAACTCTTGGTTTCAGCTCACGTCATGATTTCATGCTCATGAGATCCAGCCCCGAGTCCGGCTTGGCACGGACCCTGCTTGGGATTCCCTCTCTCTCTCTCCTTCTCTCTCTCTCTCTCTCTGTCCCCTCCCTCTCTTGTGTGCCCACACTCTCTCGTTTTCTCTTTAAATAAATAGACTTTCAAAAAATGCTAGGGACATAATTCAGAGAAGAGAGTTGAGTTTCAATAGGCTGGGAGAAGGGAGACAGCAAGCAGAGGGGGTGAGGCCAGGGTTCTAGAGACTTCTTTCGCATCAGGCTCTGGGCTCCACGGGGACATGCATGCCCCTGGATAGTTCTCAACCTGGCGGTATGGCTATTCCCATTTCATAGAGGAAGAAATCAAAGTAGCTTCTAAGGTATTAAGGCCACATGGGTCAGAGAAGTCTAAAGAATCATTTTATTTTTTACCTCGTAAATAGCCTCTCCACCCACCAATTGGGGAGGGTTATCCTTGATTGGTGCTTCCCCTCCCCGCCCCTCCCCCACCTCTCCCAAAGCCAAGTCTGGTCAAGTTCGTCTTTTAAATCTCTTCCAAATACACTACCCACTTTTCTCCGTGCCACTGCTATCACTGGATCCAAGTTGCCATTATTTCTCCACCAGTTCATGTAACAGTGTCCCCACTTGCTCTGTCTCGTGGTCTTCATCATAGTGTGAGTTTGGAAAAGCTTAGATCCAGCCACGTCACTCCTGTGCTCAGTCCATCCAGGCCCCTCCAGATGCGGGCCAAGCCCTGGCGTCTCTTTCCCTCACCTCGCCCCATCTTGCTCCTCTGGCCCCTGCTCACCTTCCCAACCTCATTTTTGCTCATTTCAACTCTTTGTTTTTTAGAAAATGTTTTAATGTTTTATTTCTGAGAGAGAGACAGACAGACAGACAGCGTGAGCAGGGGAGGGTCAGAGAGAGAGGGAGACACAGAATCTGAAACAGGCTCTAGGCTCTGAGCTGGCTGTCAGCACAGAGCCCGACGCAGGGCTCAAACCCAGGAACCATGAGATCATGACCTGAGCTGAAGTCGGACGCTGAAGTCGACGCTTAACCACTGAGCCACCCAGGCGCCCCTCATTTCAATTCTTTGAACATACCATGTTCCACTGCGTGTTGTTTCAGTCTTAAGGTTTTTCCAAGGCCTCTTCTCTGCCCAAGCCTCTCCCATCTCCACGCCTTCTCCTGTCTCGTTCCTGTTCTTTCTTCCAGTCCCAGTTCTGGAACCTCAGTTCTTCCGAAGCACATGCATGGAGTCAGGCCTCAGAGCACTCTGTGTTTGCTCAGGACACCTGCTGAGTTTGATAATTATCATTTATCTTCCCCAACAGGCCCCGAGGCCCATCGGGACAAGGCCCTGGTGCCGAGGGTCACTGCTGTGCCTAGCACAGAACTGTCACAGCAGGTGCACAGGTAACCTGCTGAATGAGCCCTCAGCCCATAGCAGCCCAGCTGCCCCTTCCTCGTGTCTGCGTCAGAGAGGTGAGGGTGTGCGGGCCGGTGATGAGAATTCAGGAGAGGGGGAGGGGGGCAACCAGCAGGTGAAGATGTCAAGCTGATGTAGATGTTGAGGTTAGGAAGTTAACCGTAACACATTTGGCTTTTTTCTTTTTTAGTGTTTATTTACTTATTTTTGAGGGAGAGAGATTGAGCATGTGCACATGAGCAGGGAGAGGGAGAGAGAGGAAGAGAGAGAATCCCAAGCAGGCTCTGCGCTGTCAGCACAGCTGAAATCCAGAGTCGATGCCTGACTGACTAAATCACCCAGGCGCCCCTTACATATCTGATGTAAAACATCAACATTTACAATTTATGTTGTAAATATAAGAACAGTCTCTAACTGGCATTTAAAAGCATTTCATCAGGGATGCCTGGGGGGCTCAGTTGGTTAAGTGTCCAACTTCAGCTCAGTCATGATCTCCTGGTTTGTGAGTTCAAGTCCTGCACCGGGCTCTGTGCTGACAGCTCAGAGCCTGGAGCCTGCTTCCGATTCTGTATCTCCCTCTCTCTCTCTCTCTCTGCCCCTGCCCTGCTCGTTCTCTCTCTCTCTCTCTCTCAACAAATAACCATTAAAAAAAATTTTTAAAGGCATTTCACCTTGGTTGTTAATTAGATCATTCTCTAGGACACAGTTTACCTTCCTCAGTAGCTCTTTTTTGTGTGTCAAGATCTGAATTTAGCCTTGAGTAGGTTGGTGTGATTGTACTTGTCCTAAGTTTCAGTAAGTGTATTTTACCTTTTTATTTCAGAAAATCTCCACCATACACAGAAGTAGAGGGAATAGTACAGTGAACCCCCACTTACCCATTATCCACTTTAACAGTTACCAACTCAGGGCCAATTTTGTTTCATATGTACCTCATCCCCGCCCCCATTAATTTGAAGCAGGTACCAGACACCATATGGGTTTCATCTGTTAATAGTAAATGTGCTTTTTAGTCCTATTTACAGAATTGCACACATGCCTGTAGTGTTGGTCATTTGAAAGCTCCTGAAGGCTTTGTAAAAAGCTGCAAAGTCACAGTTAATATGAAACCTGGGGACTGGGGAGTTCTTATTGATCAGATTTTCTGTTTCACAGAATCATTAGCTAGAAAACCTTTATTGTTTAAAGAGGGAAAAGCTTTCTAAGATAAGAGCCTACTTTCCTGCCTTAATGGGTATGGTGCAGCAAACAATCTAATCTCTTGATCTAGTCTGACTGATTTTCTTTCCTGGGGGACGGGACTGAACAGCGCTGGTTGGTTCCGTTACAAACGTCGGGGGAGTGGGGCCTGCGTGAGCGGGAGGGTAGCAGCCTTTCCCACCTGCCCCCTCACCCATCGGGCAGCCCGGATTCCAGCCTGCTGGTGGGTCCTGGGGTCCCCAGCCCACCCGTCAATGTCACTGAATGACCTTTCACGGGGATCCACATAAGCTTCTCCCGTTCTGTGCCTCTTGCCCGACACCGGCCAGGGGTTTGCCCACCTGTGCCCCCTTTCTTTCCAGACTTCGATCAAGAAGCGTGCGCTGAAGGCCAGATCTCAGCTCAGGGAACACCGCAGTGACTTTACTGGAGACACCACAGCTCTGTCCTGATACTGAGTGATGGGGGTAAGCACAGGCTGCCCTGGAGTTCACGAAGGAGCTCCGGGAGCCCGTCCTGGGAGGGGCCGGGAACAGCCCCGTGGTAGGTGGCGCCTGAGCCAGGAGCCAGCAGGACAGGCAGATCCCGCAGGGCAGAGGTGCCCGCTCCACAGGGAGGAAGCTCCCCGAGCCTGACTCCTGCATTGACGGAGCCTCCCCCCTCCCCGCTGGGGCTTTTTCTCATCCTTATCTCTTCTGTCTGCTGTGTTCTCCTTTTCCAATTGACTCATTCCTCTCCATGCACCAGTTTCTCTTTCTCAGGTCTCTGCTTCTTACCACCCTTTCTTTAACTTTCTATCTCCCCTGCCCGAACCCCCATCATCCCCAAATATTCTGCATCTCGCTACAGAGCCTTGCCAGCCGCCGATTGCTCAAGCCGAAACTTCAGACGACCCCCCACCCCCACCCTGGGGTTCTTCCCTCCCCGCACAGTCCCACCTTCAATCTGTCGGTAAATCCTGTCAGTGAGCCCTTCCAGAATAATCACAAGTCCACTCTTCTCCCCACCCCTCTCCACCACCTCGAGGGGCCGCCAGAGTGTCCTCCATGCTCTGCGTCACCAATTCCCCACGGAGCTAGAGGGACCTTTTTTTTTTTTTTTTTTAAATGTTATTTTGAGAGAGAGAGGGAGCATGAGTGGGGGAGGGGCAGAGAGAGAGAGAGAGAGAGAGAATCCCAAGCAGGCTCCATGCTCAGCAAAGAGCCCAAAGCGCGGGGCTCGAACTCAAGAATCGTGAGATCATGACCTGAGCCGAAGTCAAGAGTCAGACACTTAACCGACTGAGCCACCCAGGTGCACCTAGAGTGACCTTATTAAAGACATGACACGTTGTCTTC